GGGTCCCACGGAGGGTGGCATTTGTTTGCCTTGTTTCCAAATTTGTGGTGGTAAAAAACAAATACCCGGAGGAGGGCTTTCATAACGTTTCCTCAGTGGGTTAGGACGTGTATTTGACTACGTGATGTGGAGAGGTTGCGGTGAAAAGGTTCAGCTTGGATGGCTACTAACTGAGCAACCTGTTTGGACAAATCATCAATTTGAGCCTGTAACGCCACAATACCTGGACCAGGAGCCTGCACTGCGTGTATTTGCGCAGGAATGGCCAGTTCGTGAATTTTATCAGCGATTTCGGGAAGATTGTTAAGTGGCTCGCTACTGGCCGCTAAAATGGTTTGCATGTTAGATGGGAGTCTATTCGTCCATAATGTTTTAAAAATGTTATCCGTTAGGTTACCGGCGGCTAAGTCTGACATTTTAGATAGCAACTAAGAAGGCCTTATATCACTCAACTGTAAATCGTGCAACAGCTGCTTGATTTTAACTATCTCGGATTCTTCATAAACAGAAATTAATCTTTTTTTAAAGATTTGTATTTGTCCATCGCCGGTGGATTCAAAATTATTTCACGAGCTGATTGCAGTACCTCTGATTCTAACGCGGCGATCGCTGTATAAAATAGAGTTTCATCGACAGTAATGTAACTCAATTTAAACTGCGCATCCAATTGAATGAACCATAACGATGGGTCTCGGCGACAAAAAGGCGGTGGCTTAACTGCCACTCGCGCCAATTGTGAAGCAGCATCGTTGTCAACCACTTTAGATCAATCAAATATGCACAGTAATAATATGTATAGAAAAATAATATGTATATAGTGACACAGTTTCTTGGTACTTGAAATCAGAGAATTTGGTGGCTCAAATGCAGCAAATTATGACAGAAATACACTCATGTCCATAAATTAAGGATAATTCGGAGTCACGCGGAAATCGGAATCTAAAATAAATATATCACCTGTAAAATCACTACACACGTCTTCAAGAATCATATGCAAATTTCAGGAAGTAACCAGATGACACCGATGGTACGTCACAATGACGAGAGTGTAAGAGAGTGATATATAAGGAATACAGGCAAAGAAGTAAAATTGTTCGCAGGCGCTTTATAAGCATTTCAGTGCAATAACCGAATAGTTATGACACAAAGGACGCATTTGGATGATTTTTTACGTGGTAGAATTATCGGCCGTCTGGAATGTGGGCCTACCCAACTGGAAGTATCAGACGAACTTGGAATTGCCCAAAGTGTCATCTCCAGGCTTTGGCAATGATTCCAAGATGATGGTAATGTGAGTAGACGTTACAGCACAGGTCGCCCCAGAGTTACAACGACGCCGAATGAGGACCGGTATTTGGCAGTTACTGCCAAAAGAAACAGGCGGAGCACAGCCTCAGACCTGTCTCGTCAGCTCTCTTCAGCCACTGGTACGACAATTTCAAGGCAGACCGTGTACAGACGCTTAGGTCACATTGGTCTATATGCTCGTAGACCTGTCAGATGCGTTCCACTTACTGCAACTCACTGTCGCCTCCGGTTATCCTGGAGTAGAGAACATGCATTGTGGACACCGCAACAGTGGGCTTGTGTGATGTTTTCCGACGAGTACAGGTTTAGCTTGCAGTCTGATTCTCGCCGGACTTTCATATGGAAAGCTCCAGGTACCCGTTACCACCAAGAAAACATCATTGAACGACACCGTTACGGTGGTGCCGGAGTGCTCGTTTGGGGTGGAATTATTCTGGGTTCCAGAACTGACCTGCATTTTCAAATTGGAACCATGACAAGCCAAATCTATCGCAACTTCATTCTGGAACAACATGTACGTTTCTTTCGGGGCGCCATGGGCGCACAATTTGTGTTTATGGATGACAACGTCCGTCCTCACCGTGCAAACATCGTAAGTGAATGTTTTCAATGGAAGGATATCACCCGTATGGACTGGCCAGCATTCTCACCGGACTTGAATCCAGTAGAGCACGTGTGTGACATGCTTGGCCGACGAGTTGCAGCCCGTCAACCTCCTCCTACATGTCTACCGGAACTTCGGAGAGCATTGCTTTTTGAGTGGTGTAATATCCCCCAAGATCAGATCGATAATTTGATACTCAGCATGCCTAGGCGTTGTACGGACTGTATTGCATCGTCTGGGAGACATACAATGTATTAAAAAATCATACCAACCATGTAATATTGTTTTTTTTTTTTTTTTTTTTTTAATTTGCTCCAGGGAGAAAAAATCGCTATTTTTTTAATAATATTAAACATATAGCATCTTTTTTTGCTCTTTACCTTTTGTTTAATAAATAAGCTTTACAAATAAGTCAAATTTGTTTTGCTTCTAAGTCTTCCTTTGCCTGATTTTGCATTATCCTTAATTTATGGACATGAGTGTATATTGACTCATCGGAATGATCGGAATGCGGCACAACGCTTGAAATCACAGGTGAAATGTCTTACTTGCATCTCATCACACTGGATAACTTACTGGTGCTCAGAATTTTGACATATAAACTCCATATTCGTGCAATATTGAAGATTGCTACTCGTAATAAATACGGGTCACCAATTATGGTAGTACAATTTTTTTAGACAGATCGTTAAATAATTATAACAATTGAATAGAATAAATATTATTTTGGTTTTGGTTGATATGGGTTACCAGACTGGCAGAGTTGAGTTGTAGTAGGCAAGTTGCCACATATCTATTTATCTATAATGTATCGTTACTTTTAATTGTTTAAAAATTGTACTTTTTAAAAACACTTGTATAAATATGTAAAATAAATAACAGCTTTTTATCTAATTCTAGATCATCGTATGTCTGATTTTTTTCGCCGACACAGATGCATTTCCGAACCCAAGGCTAGTGTAGTTAGGTAGTGACTATTCTTAATATATTTTTGAGTATTTTATGGCAGATTTAGCATTTTATTATTATTTGCATTACTTTCCTATTACGAATATATTCTATACATTATATACTGAAAGTTTTTTTGGGGGGCGGGCGCCAAAAAGGTATTTTGCCCCGGGCGCCAGTTATGCTTGCTACGCCACTGAAGGACTGCACAACTTTTCTGAATATTTCACAATAACTCTCCCCTATCGCGAAAACGTTCCTCTGCTAAATATTTGTGTACTGCTTTGCGCAATCAACCTTGCTGCTGGATGAAATGCATGATAGTTGATCTTAAGAATTATTCTAGCTCAAAAATGCCTGGAAAGCCTAGATGGTAGGATTGGGGAGCATTTAGCAGATTTTTTTCCGGATCTTAATCCAGTCGAGTATCTATTTGCAGTGTGTCTTCTTTAGATGACTGGCTTCTGTTGCATATTCTCGAAGAAGTATACCAGAATGCCAGAATGCAATTTGTTACACTGACTTTTGAATTTTTGGAGAGAGGCCTAGATAATGTAAAATTTATAGAGTCAAGTTCTATTAAAACAACCGTCAATGGCTTTGATTGTTCTGTTATCATGCCTGTGGTGGGTGTTCCTTGAGCTGCCTTTTTTCGAGGTTACTATAAGTAATTTCTTTGGACGCATATCGTACTAGACTAGGACAAACATCCTTCTTTGGCTTTTGATATTGCAGTAGCCTTCTGTGTTATTGATGCGACTCATTTTTAGTGTTTGTGACTTATCTTTTGTATTACAGTGTAAAAATGTGCATCTTTATATAGTTCGACCGTCTCAAACGCACCCTTGGCTGGCATTCTGCCAAAACACATAGGCCTCGTCCAAAAGGGACATTATTACTTGCTGCGATGTGAAAGATCACGTGAAAACCTACGTAAAGAGAGAATTTGAATGCTCGAGGGAAAGAAAGTCCCCATCCTTCCATCCTATTTTGAAAATAATTCAGTCCGAATGGCACATGCGTTTTCGCGTTTATTGTCGTGGATGAGGTGGTCGAACTATATGAATAAAAACGCCTTTGAAATTTTATACTTAAAGGTTAATATATATTACATAATATGAAATATTGTATGAAAGCAAGTATTATAAATATATGATATTATTTGATATGATTATAATATAAATACATTTGAATTTAATAAATATTCTCTATTCCTATAAAGGTAATATAACTTTAAAATTTAATTAAGAAATTTTAATTGCAAAAATAAAAATAAAACTAATTATTGCTGCGAACTAATTTATAATATCATTTAAATTCTAAGAGCATATGTAAATTAAGTGCACGTATCTAAAACCATGAAAAGTATAATATTCCAAAAATTAATCTCAAAAATATTTTTAAGGAATTTCTGAGACCAAATTAAATTCATAAGTGAATAATTATTGAGCAGGCAGGAGACAGACTTATCATGAGAAAGTTGCCTCCAAACCTAACTCTTCAGTTACTCACTAACTCTTCAGTTAGTGTTTCATCATCCATATAGTAGGCAAGGTTAAAAGTAAAAATCAAAATCAAAACCAAATGTTGTGAATTACAAAAAAGAAAATTAAACTAGTAGTAATTTGAGAAATTTAGCAAGTAAAATATTAATTAAATGTCAATTAAGAGTAGAAAAACAATTTTTTTTAAAACATTTAAGTAATTTAGAAACTCTTGCCTATTGAAAACTTCCCCTAAACGAATTATGCATGTAAACCTAAAATAAACTGTATACATTCATCAAAATATAAAAAGAATTAAGAACATGCATATTATAATTATATTATAATATGTATTACACACTGTAAAATTTTATAATAATTATTTTGCTTATATGTTTATATATACATGAAGTTGTTAGTTTTCTGATAGTTCACTTCTGCTTAAGAAATTTTAAGTAGTTAAAGAGGTCTCAAACTGTGTTAGAAACCACTTTTGCATTTAAAGATTCCCTTTAGGTGGATTTAAGCTTATATTTATTTCTCCGTTATATTTATATCTATAATGACGGTAAAAAGTATGCTGCGATTTTCGCACCCTATATTATTTCAGAGATATTGTTAATCTTTTTGAATATTTTGCTGTTCTCTTTTATTAGGGTGAAAGTGGAGGTGATCTTTTCACGACAACTAAAGTAAGATTTTTTTTCTCTTTTTCTTTAGAATTTACTTAAGTCTATTACATGAAAGCAAGAAATGTGAAATACAGAATATGTTATGCTCTAGCTTCAATGCTTACTGAATTCTTTATAAATAATAAAATTCTCTGTTACAGTTTAATTCCAATATTAAAAAATATTTAATTTAATGTTTTTATGATGATTCTGATTGGAATAATTGAAATTAAATCGTTGTGCACTTTTATATATTTCTTTCCTGATCGTTTAACTCTTAGATTCGTAGAACAAATTTAAACTTTGTTTCTTATATTTCTCATTTATTTAAAGAATAATCTTGAAAGTATAAATATGCAAAATGTATTATACTAATATTAATTCAATATTAATGTAGCAATTAATTTTTGTAGTCATTAATTTTTGTAGTCATATTTGAAATTTTAATTATGCCTTTCCTAATCAAAAGGCAGAATTAAAGGACAACTTTTGAAGTTAATAAATTTCAGAAAACTGATTCTGTCACAATAATGTAAAGAGTTTTATGAAGTCAGTTTCAGCACTGAAGATGGGATGATTTTTGTAAATATAAAATCTGAATTTTTGCATGACTTCACACAGCAAAAGTGCCAATTTGTGAAATATTTAATATATTTGATAAGATAAATATAATATTTCCCATATGTTAGAGAACAAATTTGTTGAAGTTAGGAAATTTTTTCTGCCTATTACAAAATTACTCCGAAAATACCGGCCATCCCTAGACGGACTATCGACGTAGTGTTACAATAGCGATAGACAAATATCTCCCTAGATACAGATACAATGCTCCTAACCCACAGATATTCACCAAAACCAAAATATTAAGACCCTGTTCTTTTGCGCTTAAAGAAAATTTTATTATAAATACAATGAAGATATCTCAAAATTGTGTATTATATAAAGTTATACGGTAATACTCTCAAGTGTATGTAAATTTAGTCTTAGCTATGAAATTAAATAATGCTGTTGCGAAGAAAATATCTTCGAAAAGTAGAAGAAATATCATAATGAAAGTCTGTACGTTTATGGACCTTTTTTTCTTCTTAGAAGCAACTCATAACTGGCTTTCTCTTTAGTTCTTCTGAAAGACTTTTAGGTGCTCTTCGGATATCGGGGCCGGATCCAGAAATATATGCACGTGTGTGTATATATATATATGTATGTGCGAATGTATACACATGTACATATGTGTATACGTATAAACATGCGTACATAAACACATACCTTCATATATCCATTTCTGAATCCGATCCCGATAACAGAAGTAAACGATTTTTATTCTTACTGTAATTCTTGCTACTAGCTGCTTGATGAAATTTTCTTGAAGGGCGTTTATCATAACTTCGATTAAACCTTTTTTTTAAATACTTCTGAAACAATTCGCAGTTTCGCGTATTCTCTTCCGCGTAAAGTTAGAGCCTCTACAAGAAAGTTTTTGTTTTAGAATCCAGAAGATAGTCAAAGGTTAGCTCGGATCCCCTGAACCACGTAAACTTTTCTCCGAGTATGCTAAAACTGTGAGGTTATGGGAAATCCCATATATTACGACGAGAAATACGTTAGTGTGGTGACGTAATTGCAAAGCAGATATTACCTGTTTTGGTGATTAGTGGTTGCACATAGTGACCGTTATTAAATTTGCAACTGCTCCTATGAAAATATTTATTTCTCAAAATGTAGCGAGTTATGAGACATTCTATGCTGAAATTTTTAAAATATAATAAATGTCACAAATTAAATTTTATAAACTTAAAAAACTGATCCATCTACAGTACTGAAATTATCTTCATGAAATCATCTGTTTCAGCGGTTCTTAAAGATCTTCAAGACTCCTTTCGTATGGTGTTCTGTTTACCGTATCTTAACTATTAACTTTCAAGTCTATATTATTATATACCATGCAAAGTTATATTTAATGTTAAGTCCAAAAATATGCTGTCTTCCAAAAGTTAAGGATCAACTGCTTTTAGGGCATAATTTTGAAAGTGAACAGGACAAAAGTAGGAAAACTGGTATTAATTATAAACCATGCGTTTTAAAAGGTGTACACCTTATACTCTTGCAAAAAAAAATTAAAACTTCACTGTGAGAAAAAAACTAGCTTCTTGAGATATGCAGCAATTGCTTTCTTTCTTTGGAATAAATAAGAATAGTTTCGGCTACTACTATAGTAAGCTCTTCCCTCTCTATATTTTCGGTTAAAGTAGGAGTTCACATGCATGGATATAATCATGTATTTCGTAACCCACGTTGTAACCATATCAAGAAATCTGGTGAGAGAAACAAAGCAGCTACATTCCTTACTATATGATACCACACATTCTTTAACGGGTTTTGATCGGATGATCAAGCAGGTGTGTCCATTTACTCAATGACTATTTTCTTATGAAGGTATTGGTCACATGCGCTTTGGGAGGACGAAAGTTGTCTTCATTAAGAAAACGGAATCCCTCGTTGCAGCACAATGTGGTCTTGGATGTGTATTTTAGATGCTATCCCTATACATGTGATTCGGATAGATCGAAAGGAAAGATATGTAGAGTAGTGTGATCACCTTAACCGAATCTGCACAGCTGAGACCACAGCCGCCTTGAAAAGTGTCCCATTCCAGAATATTCGACTAGCCATATCATGTTCTTTGTTCTCTTCAAACCATAATATGACGTAAGAATACTTGCATACGTCCCTGAAGAGTACTGAGCGTCGATACTCGCTGGTTCAGGTGAAGAACTCTCTTGCCTGTTTCTGTCACTATGCTCTGTGCGAAGTAGTGAATGGAATATAAACAGCTGGTCTTTTGATAAACACTGCGCAGATGTCTTTTCACAGCAGAAGCAAAATTATTTTTCATCCTACTGCAAAATGATCAACAAAAACCTGAATCACCGTCATGTTTCATTGTAAGAGACAATAAGCGTTTACTAAAGATGTAAGTCATGAGTAGCTTTTGTAATTTTAACAGAGTACGTTCGCTCAAAAATTGATTCCATAGTCTATAAATGCCAAAAAGACACTACAGCTGACATTTTACCTTCCTGCCACTTCTGACGAACCCATCTGAATTAAGAAGCGGTATTTTCTATATGCTCATTCTGGTACAGAATGAGGCAAAAGACCACTTTGGGGTATGGCATCGAAAATTTCAACAGATTTTTAATGGATTTTCAAAGGGAATTCATATATATATATGAAATATCGTCATAAATCCTTGTCATTGGATTTAAGTAGTATTGCTACTACTACTTGCGTTTGCTAGTAGTATTTTTCTGTTGCATAGTTTTTTATATTAACTATAGCTGAGATCCTTAACATTTATTTTTGTAGTTCTATACCGGAAAAATCGCTTGTTCTTTGACTTTTGGAGAGTAATCTTTGGAAAGTTCGGTGTTAAGCCATCTTTCGCAATTGTATATTGTCTTGATATGTACCATGTAATTTGGAATTACATTTTTTGTAATAAAATTAAACCTCCTGGAGTCTGGACAGCATAGTTTAAGAACCGCTGCTCTGTTTTACCATGAGAAACTTCGTCATTGAGGGTACATACCTAGAATCAGTATTTAAGAAATATAAAACTTGTAAACTCAGTTTTGAGCCCGCTTTATATCATGGCAGTGTGTATATCCTCTGGTGGGAGGTAAAATTGAATGTGTCATGATTTGTGTGTTATTGAAAGTATACTAAAACTGTTTATAAACAAAAGCGCCTTTCTAGGGTGTAAAGCGCTCCGTAACTAGTCTACAAGGTGGAACGGTCGGCTTTGCCGAAGTGGTCGCCATGAAGGTCAGTCGAAAGCAAAACACCAAAATAACTGCACCCCACCTTCTCTTTCACCATTTGCACTAAAGGATTTGCACGAAACTTTTCCTGTTTTAGTGAATGAATGCTTCTTGCACACTTTCACAATTTAACACCCATTCTCGTTTCTTGCGCCAAGATGTGGTACAGTTATTCAGTGCTCATTTAATTTAGTACATGCAGAACTTAGCAAACAGTAATAGATGCATGTACCCAAATGCAACATGAATTGTAATTACAAATAAAATTTAGCGAAATCTTGTACGAAGAATGTTGTCTGTACCCAGATTATGTGCATAACACTTGTTAACAGTTTGATCGAAAAAGATGATGCTTCTTAAATTAGTAAAAAATTGTATATTGTGCCAAAACATTGCTTAAACTCCTGGGTAGTTTCACTGACCTTTCTTTTTTAAAAAACTTCTGCATGAATTCTTTGATATATATATATATTTTATTTTATTTATGAAGAAAGTTCCCGTTGCTGCGCTTGCAAACGAAACGGCATGAATCTATGTAGAAAAACATGCCAATTAAATCTGTAAAAATTTAAGCAGCTAAATCAAATTTGACCTTTTTCTCTGTTCTCTTTCTCAAAGAAGAGAAATCGATGTCAGCGAAATCGGTAAAATTGAACATAAAAATAATGTTAATGAAGGAATGATTTTAAGTAATTTTACTTAGATAAGCAATTCGTAACCATAGTGTTCAATGTTCAAATTATGAAGCCTCTTCGTGGTGCTCGGTGTGCTAAATAAATAAATTTATATACACTTTTCACAAAGAAAAATGGGACATTTCTATATCTCCCGTTCTACTGGACCGATTGTCGAAATTTAAATTGAGTTTTTCATGTTTCGAAAGCGCGACTTAGGATATATACTAGATTTATATATAGTAGTATTCTAACACAGGTATTTTGACACAAAATCGGAACTTTTCTGAAATAATACACCAGTTGTTTTTTTTTTATTTCAATTCTAAGACTCAAATTATGCCTGGATATTAAATTGTGTAATTTGTGGGGAGAAATTTATAGAGAAATTTAAAAATTTACCTTGGCGCATTTTTTTCAGTTTGCGCCAGGAATAATTCACTTGGCAAACTTCTCAATTTATGGCAACCTATTTTCCGTTCCTTATTTTCATTGTACACGATCGGAAAAGTCATCTTTCATACTTTCAAATAATTTAAACCACATTTGGCGTTATTGTCGCTTATAAGGAATATGCCAAATTTAAAAACGCGCCAAAATGTAAATTCGCATATATCTTAGGAAATTTTAAATAAAGGACTCTAATTATTTGCATTTGTGTTTAGAAATACATCTACTTTAAGATAGATGGTGGTAAAACTTTTATAGATTATAATTCAAAATTGTTTTCGAAAAATTTATAAAAATTATTTAAAAATACATATTTTTTAAATCAATCATAAAGATGGGCGGATTTAATTTGGAATGTACATTTCGAATTGTGAAAAGAAGAATCAAATAAGTTTAATATAAAAAGAGATATTCACAAATATATACTAAATTCAATTAACATAAAAGGAGCTAAAATTTTAAAATCTAATTTTTTAAAAACTACTCGCGCGATTTAAACAAAACTTGGTACTTTGACGTAATTTGAGTCGTAGAATCGAAATATGGAAAAAAAAGTGGTATATTATTTCAGAAGAAGTCAGATTTTGTGTCAAAATACTTATGTTAGAATATATATAAATCTGATATTTATCTTAAGTCGCGCTTTCGAGACATGGAAAACACAAATTAAATTTCGACAATCAGTCCAGTAGAACGGGAAATATAGAACTGCACCTTATTTTTTTTTTTTTTTTTTTTTTTTTTTTTTTTTGTGTGTGTGTGTGTGTGTGTGTGTCTGCAAGAGGCACATCATCCTTCAGGTCACTTTAGTTTGAAAAAATAAAGGTGCTTTTATACGAAGTAATTACCTAGGCTCGTACGATTTTTCATTTGACAGCTGATGAGAATAACTGCTTATTGCAATACATTGAATGAGTGTCACCACATCTTGCGCAAGTTTTGAGCACTTTTACTAGCACTTGTGCACCCTCTGGAAAAGATAGAAATGACATAGATTGCTATTTAGTATCTCGTTAGCTAATCTAACATGTTAGTTTACCAACATTAGTGAATACTCATCCCGTTTTTGCAATTTGTAACATACCTAATAGAATTGTTTCTAATAGAAATGTTTTCTACAAAACTGTGTTTTTAAATGTGTGGCAGTAGCCTTTAATCTGTGTTTTTCTGTTTTACTACTAATGTATCTTTTCAGTATTGAGTTTTAAGTATTGTCGCAGAGTGATAAAAACAATCGTAATAGTTTTAAATGTTTAATTTATGCAGCATAATTTTTAGTTATAGTTTCGTACTGTTCCATTTTGTATTTATAATAAATTTATATTTGCTAAGAGAGAATTTGTGACACATAAAACATATTTCTTCTTTATATTGTTTAAAATCTATAATTTCATTTGTTTCCTGAACAGCTCTAAACATATGCATTAAATTAAAATTAAGATTTCATTCATATCATAGTCATTACAAAAAGACAATGGAAAATGAAGAGATAGCGGAAGCTCCTTCCCGCTGTTTAGTATATGACTTGTTAAAATTGAAGTAAAAGTTGCATTCACGATGGCCAAATCGTCGCTATAATATAAACACATAAAAGGCGAGGGTTTTGTAATAAAAGAAGCGTCTTTTTAAAATTATTAATATTACTTTTCATTTTTAATATGTTCAGTTTTGACTTAAGCACGACTTTTTTGTGTAATCTGAGTTGATCTAGCTATGCATGCTTATGCACTTTACATAACAAAAATACATAATTTTATTTCCTTTTCATTACTAATACAAAGGACGTTCAATAAGCTTTAAATCTAATAGCCTTGCTTGAGCTAAATGTCAAAAATAACATTTTTACATTCCTATGTCATTTCCGTAGACTTCAATCAGTTAGGCATCGAATTCCAGTAGGAAAAAAATTATCACAATAGTGAAACCATTTTTTGATCGTTTCGGGTTACGTATCGTTATTGTAAAGCAATCAGATACTCTGCTGCAATTTTTGAAAACTAATCCACAGTGTGCAAACAAAACAGAAAAAGTATTGACATTTTTCAAAACATGACTCAGGATGTTCTGAGTGCTCTGTGGTTTGTGTAGAGTAAATAAATTCATCGCGAACTGAGAACTGACCCAACTTCCTGCTTCCTGCTTACCACATCACTTACCCAACTTCCTGCAAACCACATCACGTAACTTCTGTAACAAGATGATTACGAAGAATTACTGACTACGATCCGATATTTGAAAGCATAGTGAAAAGACCCAGAACGATTCATCGTAATGCAAAGTGGTGGCTCATCAGCCAAGGGATTCTGTAATGGACTCTTTTTTTCCAAGTCGTAATTATGTTATTCAAGGACTATCACGAAACGTTTACTTCTCCCCATATTCATCGATTTGCACTTATTATTATATTTTTTCTCAAGCTCATTTATCCTTCAACTCTTTTGCATTTCAAGTATCTAGAATGTATATATTACTTTATACGTTTCCTGCTAGATTAATTTAGATTTGAATAGATAATTATGTCATTTTTTATGCGTATTAACCTTGTGCTCTTCGCATCGTATATTGTGCTTTTGTATTCAGACACTTAACCAGACGTGAGTCATTCACTTAGTTCCATAGACTTAAGGAACATTTCAAATTTTAGTGCTAAACTAATATATCTGCAAGCGCATATGATATGTGCTCTACATGCTCTACAGGTCAACTCGGAAGTTCTGCTTTCCGCTTTTTGGCGACATGTTACAGTGTTACTTTAATATTAACGCCAACGCCTTAGGATTAACCATACATCGCTTAGAATATCCACAGAATTGACGCTGTGGTCGGACGGCAAACGTTAGCAAACAAGAATTACTGCGAGCAATTATCTCAGACAGTGGGTCTAAATTTCAACTAGTTCTATATTCACAGATGTCAAGTTTGATGAATACAGCGCACACCGTTTAGCACTCTGAGAAACCTGAGCTTCTTTTATGGATATATTGTCATATAGAGGTGACACTTTTCTACTGAGTTCGACACGCCTTTATGCCGTCTTAGAGTTGGACTCTTATAGTTAATATCTTTAATCATAATGTTAGATTTCATCATCAATTAGCAGCGCACTCTCTTCATCTTAAGAAATAGTGACCCAGATCTTTTCAACAGAAATCTGTGTTCTGAATTTGTGAGAGAATAATTCTCGAGAACTGTCAACCTGGCTTTTCTTCATTTTTAGTCTATTCTTCATTCTAGGTATCCATCTGGTGCATACATTGTATATGCCCAACCTTTCATGCAAGACTTTTCTTACCTACTCGATAATGATTCCTGTTGCTATCGCAATCTGAGGAACTGTCACTTGTCGATTTTCCATTGGGTATTTTTTTACTTATGTATATATTTTCTACTGATCACGTCAACGCGTTGCAGTCTTGTCTAGGGTCATCTCTGAGGAACACTTTCCCATGCAAAACCTTGCTGCCCACGTTTTGATGGCAGCATTGTAAAGTGGTCTGTTACTACAGATTACAACTGCAGGTTCCTGATTATCTGATGGCATAATGTCATCTTTTATCAAGAACTAACGAACAGTGTATAATCCTTACCATATTAATATTTATAATATTCTCTGATATCAACCTTTCACGAAACTTAACAATTATTACAGAAAATATTTCAACAATATTTGATAACGTATCGTAAACAACAGCTGATAATTTATCAAAAGTTCTTTAAAAATCCTTCTCAAAAATCTTATGATAAGTATCATCGATCCTTGCATTTGTTCATTTTCTTATGAAAATGTTGGCCCAATTATTTCACCGTGTTTCGTCTTTCCACAAGTATCACATCATAGTTAGGCTTAAGGCTTATTGAACGAATTCCGTAGTTACGAGATTCCGTAGTTCCGTAGATACAATTCGTATATTTGACAGTAAAAAGTCATCATGTATAACATAATTAACCTACGAGCTATAATTTTCATTTGACTAACATAATACTTTACGCTTTGTGTGTTAATATTTGTGTGTGGCATTTTTTGACTGTTCCAGGGACTTGCCAGCCTTGGTATGACTTTAGCCCCTGGTGATTTGCTTTTACTAAAAGTAAGTTTCTGTCTACATCAAAAGTAACATATTAACTTGCCTTCTGTAAGAACACTTAATAAGTGTGTACTATGTGAAGCTTTGCATGTTAATAAAATATTTATAGTTATTCTACTGTAACAAAATTTAAACTGACGTTAGAAACGTTCATAGCGGGATCTTTCAAACGTTTTGAGCCGTTATGCATTATATTATCATGCCATTTACTGCATGAAAGGTTTGGAAGATTTTGCCAATGCTACATAAGATTTTTTTATCTTTTTCGTGGTTTGACAAATACCCAGCTTTCAGAATCTAGCCGTTTGATGAGATTCAAAATCTTTAATTTATCATTCAATCTGTAATAACTGTATAGTTAAAAAAATAGCGATTTAAAAACTAAAAATTCACTTTTATAAATTCACTTTAATAATTTAAATCTTTGTTATATTCTTTAAATAAAAATTTAAAGATATTTAAAGATAAAATCTTATCATTACAGATTAAATGATTTCAATATCATATACCATTTAATTTGATATTTATATATTTAATATGTATTATGTCTAACCGATAAATATGAATATTTATGGCTTTCATTTTTCAAACATAAAGGTATGTCATATAAAAATTGGGTTTTGTTTCGGGACCTGTTTTGAGTGAGACGCCCTGTACATATGGTTAACTTAACGCAGCGGAAAGATTCCGCGAATACGTTTCTAACGTTAAAACTATTTTAAGAATTAGATGGACATTAGAAATAGAGTTGTTAAATGTTTTAATTTAGAAAAAGTTTCTTATTACATCATACGTAAAAGATGTGTTTAACATATATATGTCTCTTCAGAGAGATTTTGAACATGGTATGCAGCATAAGTATTCATTTTTTAAGCCAATTGTTTTTCTATAAAAGAATAGTTTTCATTAACTTACATCTAATATAGGGAGAACCTGGTGTTCCTGGCCCTCCTGGGCCTCCAGGCCCTCCAGGACCTACAGGATTGCCTGGGTTTGATGGAAGAGTCGGTTTACCAGGTGAACCAGTAAGTAATGTCATATTGTAATATAATTTGATTCAAAAAGTGTGTAAACATTAAAAATTGCTGATTTTTAATGTAAACAATGAATTATAAAATACACATTACTAAGGGAAGAGTCATGAATTTTAAAACAACAAATACTCAGTAATAAACATATATTACGATACATTCAACAAAACCTTTAGCGTTCCCAGAAAAATTTCTAGGGGGATGGCAAATATTGGAAACTGGTAATTATATAAATGTATTTTTATTCAGCGTTTAATTTGAGGATTTTCAAAGTAAATTATAGAATGCAGTATTGTATCAAAACAGAAATATATGTATTATACATCTGAAAAGGCAGTTTACTATATTTCGAAGGGAAGGATATGTGTCCCATTTGTTTACCTTGAAGTACCCCGTGTAAGAAATAAATATGCTACACAGCATCGAATCAATGGCTAAACACTGATCAAAGGTAGATCGATGCGGTACGTAGGCATTTTCATCGTTTTCCTAGAGTGAAATATGAATTTGACTCAATTTTCCATTGAAAGTCCTCTGTCCGGTCCTTCTCTTAGGGTAGCAAACTCCAAGTATGCCATATTCGATTAAATACAACATACAAGCCGGTATACAATAAATCTACAAAGCGTAAAGGGAAAATTATAAGTGCCATTAGGTTATTTTCCTGTCCTTAAATTTTAAAATCTGTTTATGATATGTCACAATGATTAAGTAATATTTGTTTTATTTTTAAGGGACCACCAGGTGAACTGGGATCTTCCGGCCCTCCAGGACCTGTTGTAAGTTCTATTTTTTTCCTTTTGAGATCAGGCAATTCTTAGATTAGACGAGAAAGTACAGATAGTGTAATTTTATGAAGATCTCTCTAAATAATAAATAAATATATAATAATTCAACTTCTTATTTAACATTAGTAATTTCAACATTTTTCATTAAGAAATGTTCTATAAATAATAAATTATTTGATAAATATTTAAATAGCACTAGAAAAGCTTATTTTGCAGTTTAAGGATTTGTTGTATTTTATGTAAGCAAACAGAGAGAGAAATTTATAATTCATTATGCAGTAATGTTTGCAAGATTGCATGCAGCATAAGATACTCTTTCTTATCGAACTGTTCTAGAGTGTATGCAGTGAGTTTAGCCTAAAACTTCAAGCTCGAAATCAAGGATGCGGATTCAACTGCAGCATAAGGTGTGTGTATTGTCTTTTCATATTCTTCGCGGGCGTAATGTACGAGTAAGTCGCCTTTTTGCGCACTTTGTTCAGTGTTCTTGGTGTTAAGATAACTAAATGACCAGCAGATTCAGGCATTCCCTGGAATGCTCAAAGAGAAAAGGCCGAGTCTTAAATAAAAGGCTTGCCTATATTTCGTCTTTCGGAATTAAGAGAAAATTTCTTTATCCAAAAGGCAAAACTCAAGAATTTTGATAAGTTTTCAACTTACGCAGAAGATAAATAAGTTAAAAAGATTCAAAAGATAAGTGCGCTAAAAATTATTTCATACTGAAAGCTGAACATTCATCTCTCATCTTTTAACTCTCACAGAACTCCCCCAGAATGAAAATTGTCATAATTATATGACTCGCATTACTTAAAGATGACTAGTTAACTAGTACAAGGTAGCTTTACAGGAATTATATGACCGAGTATATCTCCTAGAACTATGCTACTCACGGAACATTTCGGCAGTTATCGAATTTTTAATTTTGTACTCGCAAACAAAACATTGTAATTGGCTCGCAGACAGGTATTTAATATAGATAAGTAATGCAATTAATTTTTGCAACTGAAACAAGGTGCTTTTTAATTATACAAAATTGTTCTTTTTCAGTTTAAGTGGCGTACAAAATCTAAATTTTTTATTTTTTTCTCTTATAGGGTCCCATGGGAAAAGACGGATTACCAGGTCCAAAGGTAAAAAAAATGCTTCAGAATATTTTCATAAACTTTGTATGAGTTTCTACTATTTATGATAGTTTTCACATATTTTAATTTTTTATAGCGCATATTCTGTAATTTCAGATACTTAAAAATAAAAGAAGGTTGTATATTTGCATACGTATATGTGTCGTTGAAACTGTAAATCGTTAATGTTCCCGTATTGCTATATATATATATATATATATGTAGTATAGTATAGTGATTTTATTATCAAAACGAAGTAGTTTTGTTTAATAATTATTTGATCTTATCTAATGTTTAGTGTAGGTTTTCCTAAAACCATCCTAGACGATTCTTTTGGCCTGGAAGATATATTAATCTAAGAATCAATCGTAGCTCATTAATAAGTATTAAACTACCGAGTATGCAAAAGCCAAGATATGCAATTAGTTTACATTATGTTTTATTCTTTATAGCTGAAGAGCAGCTGCTTAGATACATATTGAGAACGATACATAATTGACTAAATACATAATCTAGTTATTGAAAAGCAAGCACAGCACATTATTCTGTATGAAGGCATATCGTGATATATGACGCTAGAAGCATCTTATTTATTATAAGAGTGATGCTAATCCTCATATCAATTGGATGTAACTAAAACTAAACCATTTTAAATTATATAAGTTGAAGATATTATTAAAAAATAAAATTTTTAAAAAAATCTGAAATGTTTCAGATTTTAAATTACGTCCAAAGAGGCTTTCTTTAACATTTTGTGTTACCTTTATTTATTAAATATCATGTTCTTTGTACTTTAACCATAAAAATTTAGTTCAAGAGCAACATCGCAAAATAATTTTGAAATAAACATATATTTATAATTTCCGATACACAGTCTCGCGCTCTGGAGATAAAAATGTTTTTCTGTTCAACGTTGCCATTCCTCGCTTTGAAATTCTTGAGTTTGTTAATCAAAAATTCGTTAAAGTTTTTCAAAATAGGAAATCGATAATAAAACAAATTCCAAATTTCAAATTTGGGCTTCCAGATGCCCATATTCGTAGGAGGACTACATTATTCAAAATTGGATGGCTCTAGGTACCGTTGTTTTATCACAATGCGAGAAACATACATACATTTTATACAGATTCTTCATTATTTAATTTCCTTAAATATAATACAGGGCGATAATAGTATTTGGTGGCAACAATTTGGAAACTGAAACAACGCTTGTAGTGATCGACGCAAAATGCCAAAATGAAATTAATAGTCCTTCTGGGCAAATTGCCCCTTTGTACTAAAAATAAAATAAAGATGTGAATTCTTGGGAAGTTCGTTGATTAGTTATTAAGTTATTGATATAATTTGAAAGATAAATTGGAAATCGTATGCTTTGCGAATCGCAGCGTTCTAAAAATTGCCTGTTTGCGAAACCACCTAGAAGATAAATACCTTATTTTTCGCGCCTTACTTGCTACAAGTCGCGATAAATGCAGAGTAGCGTAGCGTAAAAATATGAAGGTTAAAAAATTTTGAAAAGATATCGCTAAAACCTTTGTAACATAATTGCTTGCAAAATGCAATTCTTGATAATTTACTGCTTTAACAACACGTAGGTCACCGGCAGCTTTCAGATTAATTTAATATTAACAATTTATCAACACTTAAGCGTCATCCCTACCAGAAACCATCAATTCATAGTTTACAGATGATCTTCGTTTCAAATTTGTTTGAATAATCAACATGTATGTTCTGCGTGTCCTACACTAATGATTAACATCTGGTGAACAAAGGCTTTGGCTGACACTTTCGATTTAATTTTGTTTTAGTAATCTAATCATGAATGCTAATTTTAAGTTCATTCTATTTGAAATATACCCAATTGATAATTATTTTTAGTTTATAGTCTTATGTAATCAATGTGAGGCGTTCTAACGTCATTTCTCCGGTGACTGCTGCGGAATCATTTGCACTTTTATAAATAATAAAAATGCAAATGCTATATAATACATATATACGTATATACGTATTTGTAGTGCTATATAACATATATATCAATGCTGAATGTTTCTTTTAACTTAGTAAAGGAAGTATTGTAATCACGAAAAATTTCAGTTATCAGATTTCAACGGAAATATCCATTTTGACCGTTCGCGAATTAATTTTGACTATATTTGGGCTGATTTACGGACAGAGAAAATGACTCTGTATTGAAAACCTGGTCATAAAATGAATTTAAAGTGGGCATTAAGCCAAAAACAGTTAAGAGTAGAACGTTGAAATTTTGGATCTTACTTGTGCACATTCTTTTTCCTTTCGCACCAAATCAGCAGTGCTGAAGTATAATATTTTTAATATATCCCTCCCTTACCCGGCTTAAAAGTCCATACTCTTTATTTTCACAGTCGTTTGTTGTAGACATGTATTTCTATGACAAAAGGCTTGTAAATGACGAAAATATTCACGTTTGGACAATCTAAAATTAAAAAAGAATTTTGTCAAATAACAAAATTTAACAATTTAACTTTCAATGTGATGTCCCCTTTCCTACAGTTATATTTGTGGAAATTTTTTACTCGTTATGAAAAAATAAAAATACAGGAAGTTTGAATCCTGTAGGACAAAAATTGAAAAGAATATCTAATTTTAAAATCTGTAGTATTTGTGTCATTTTCAGTTTGCCTTTAGGGATTAGTTAATTAGAATAATTCGAGGAAATAAGTTTAAATGAAGTGCAGAAAAAATGTGTATAATTTAATAGGCCGCACAAAGAAGTTATGTGGTGGCCACGTTAACTTTTTTTTTCTTTTTCTTGAGTGTAAAGGTGCAATTTGTGCAGAAGGACTGTTAATTTCGTATTTCGTTTTGGCATTTTGCATTGGTTCACTATAAATGTCGGTTCACTTTTCAATTAGTTCCTACCAAATATTAGTCCTGGATTATATTTAAAGAAATTAAACTATGAAGAATTTGCATAAATGTATCTATGTTTCTCGCATTGTAATAAAACAATGGTACAACGGTAATCCATCAAATTTTGAATAACGTACGTCTCCACCCGAATATGGGCATTTAGAAGCCCAAACTCGAAATTTGGAATTTGTTTTATTATCTATTTCATATTTTATAAAACTTTCATATTTTTTATTTTATTTCATATTTTTAGTTAACAAACTCAATGATTTCAAAGCGAGCAACGGCAATACTGTACGGAAAAAAAATATCTTCAGCGCGCGAGATTGTATCGGAAATTCTAAAAGTATGCTCATTTTATAATTCTTTTGCGATACTGCTGTTGAGCTGAATTTTATGATTTAATTACGAAGACCATGATATTTAATAAATAAAGGTAACACACAAATTGTAAAAGAAGTCCCTTTACGTGTAATGTAAAATCTGAAAGCTAAAATCTTTAGCTTTCAGATTTTAAAAAAATTTAAAGATTAAATTTTTTTAATTCAAAGGATGAAGGAACACATTGAGTCGCAAATTAATATATATATATTTGGTTTTGTGTAACTAATACCCACATAAAAACAAACAAAAAAAAAAAAAAAACAGTTGCCAGTAAACTGAATTAAGATTTTCTAGCGTGAAGAAGAAGAAGAAAAAAATATTTGTATGTGAAGGATAGTTTTATGGATTTTAATAATAATACCATTATATCATTTATGACTTGCTTTATATGTGAACGACGTTTGACTCTCAGATGGTAAATGTTACACTTAAATTTCCTTGTGAATAGTATTTATCTGAACAATTTTTAGGGTGACAAAGGAGACCGGGGATTTATGGGAGCACCTGGCTTACCCGGGATGCCTGGGAAACCGGGCATTAGACTTCCGGGACATCTCGGACTACCTGGTCCTAAAGGCGAAAGAGTGAGATTAATTATTTATTTTTTGTACGTTGCAGGACAGATAGTCGCTCTTCAACTAACAAATCTGTTTCTTCTAACTCTCTAGTTTGCAAAAGTTGCTCCTCTGCGGGAAACAAACGTTTTTCGGTTCTTCTGTTTAACGAATGTGATACAGGATGCAAATTGTACTTTTCAGTAAAAGAAATTTTACGTTTTAAATGACGTAGCTTTTTACATCTTTACAATGCATGGGATTTAAGCCGCTCGCTCTTTTAAAAAGATTCATTGATTAAAATGTCCCCTTGATTCAACTGTATGACACATGAACACTGGTAGTTGACTGAAGTGCGCCGCAGCAGCAGAACAAATAATACCTCTAAACAGTCTTAATTTCGCCCCAGGGATAAAAGTCTCTGCCAAAAGGTTGGTTGCATTGGTACTTTCATGAGTTTACTCATTTACGTCTTAAAATCGAACCAGTCGTAAAATCAAGCTCTAGGAGAACATCCCTTCCTTTTAAGCAAATAGCTGTCGTATGTTTTGTCGTATTCGGGTAAACAAGAATGATTTCTCAAAAAAGTTCTGCTTATGCTTTCATATTCGTCATCTGCTTCACAGGCTAGAGGTAACTCAACTTCACATCTGAAAACATGGCTACTGTTATTCGAATATTTTGACTGATTTCCAAAAGAAACTCATTCTAAAATCGATATCATCTCACTATTGCATATCTTGTAATGAGGAGGTGGAAGGTCTAGCAAAGTTACAAGGTAAAAGTTAATACAATGCATTTCCAACAAAACATCATTTAAAACTGCTTTTGCGATTATAGACAAGAAAGCAAAAAGTTGTTTTATTTGTGATATTTAATATCATATTTAAAGTAATGTTCGGAGGAAGTATTTTGACGAACGGTCTGACATGATAGCTTGGCTCCCCCACCTTAAACAAGATTAGAATTTTTGACTGTCCAGAGTATCCTCTGAGCAGTTCCTGCTTCATGGGTGATGATCACCTCCATCTTTGACCTGCTGTAACAAAAAGTTGATTCTTTTCATAGTATTTTGATCTTTTTCCTTAATCATTTAAATTCTGACTCGCAAGTAAGTTTTATCTATATGTTATATCTGTGTTTTAGCTATATTTTATCGCCTAAGAAAAATTTCCAAAAGTGTTTTTGTGCATTGGAAATTTAAAAAAAAAGTGAAAAAAACGCAAACGAATAACGACTGAATAAGATTTCTGTATGGGGCCATTTTTGTTTATCCCACTCATTTTCCTTACATAAGAGTTATTTAAGAGAGATTTAATTAGTCATTTCCCTCATTTAAGAATCCATGATGGATCATTCCCTTCGGCAAGAGCTTGTTCGCCATGCCTGATTAACATGGCAACTAAATCCCCTGTCTTTGCTACTGTTGCATAAATCTTCATTCGGCTGAGTGATCAAAGCCGAGAATAGAGTTCGCCTAGAGATTTATTGCTGGTCTGGAACAAACTATGCGGTGAGGTCTTCTGTGTCCTTTCAAATGGATTGCATAAATGAAATCCATTTTCAAATCTTAAAAGTATAGTTCGCTTCAGAGGATTTATGAAAACTGCTGTATATTTTGAGTACCGCCTTGCCGCACAAACACTATACGCTTACAAACATCCATACGTTTTTCAAAATTTACTATACCAGAATAACAGCATCCATTTCAGCAGGAATATTTTTTTAATGTATCAGTTCTTCTAGAATTCTGATATGATGCTACCTTTTGATAAAAAATTTCTCTTTTACCTCGGACGAACTTGCTATCGAGTATGGAAATATGTTTACTGTCTAATATTGCAAACATTATAAGCAGCTAAAATTTCCTATAATTTTTCATAATACTGTTTTTTTTTAATGAAAACATGAAAAGTAGACGTTAAAGACTCGTGAAAAGATTTTGTGCTTCAAAACCAGCCTATCTTAATTTGGTCCTGATCGAGTAATTAAGGTCATGAAATGGTGGTATTGCGTTTCAGGTTCACTTCGTGATGTCAGAGCGAACAGTTTGTACCCTCGCAATATAACTTATCCCATATTTGCATTTTGTACCACTTTAACATACTAATCCTCGTTTTGTAGGTCTGTGATCTTAAGGATTTCTGTAGTTGCATATTGCTGTTTAAATAACAAACAAGCATAACTTCCTTTTCAATTCTTTATAATGTTAACCGATTTCTAACATCATTAACCACTCGCATGTAAAGTACTGATGCTCTCAGATGGATTTAAATATTTCATTTTATTGCGTGAAATCTGTTCAACAATCACACTGCTGGAATCAAAGTGTTTAAAATTTTAACTGAAAAAGTAATATTGCTAATATCGATATATAATGCAGAATTAACTTTCTTTGAAATTTTTGGAATTTCTTCTGTCGAAGACATAAAAAAGCATTATGTTGAACAGGTTTCACATAATTTTGCGAAATGTGATTGTGTTTCATAACATGTTCGTTTTGATTATTTTAGTATAATTATGCTTGCTCTTGATGAGAACAATATTATGCAGTTTAATAGTAAGAAAAAGCAAATGAAGAAGTTTAACGTAATTTATCACAAATAAGTAAAAATTTATCGCTGACTGCAATTTCGTTGGAGCTGAACTCATCTTTATCAAAACGTTACAGTTGAGAACTCAATGGAAGTTGTTCTTGATGTGGAAGTTAGAATGAGCGGTCTAAAGAAAAGAGAGAGAAATAGTTTAGATCAAGGTTTTCCATGCTTCGTATAGAACGGAGTGAAAGTTGCATCATTCTGGCAATTGTTATCCAAAAATATTTCCGAACATTATGATAAATTCAAACCGAAAGATACTAAATTAATTCTGCCAATAATTTTGACCTCCGAAAATTAAAAGCTGTGGTTTTTATCCCCAAAGTGAAAAGTTGTTAAAGAATTTTTCACTTCTTTTTTGTTTCTAATGCCGTATGTGCTACCGGGTTGATGTGAGCTCGCAATTGTGCCATCTCTCTCTCAGTGTCCTTGAGAGTGAAATATAACCTTGAGGTGAAATTTGCGACGTAGAATCGAAACATTATGCTTGCGAAGGCAAAGTGTATTTCGGCTTGTGTGACGGTAATGGATCTGTTTTTTGTGCGAACGCTGATTGGTCACCAAGCTGCTGCGCACAAATAGAAAATACATTCAAATATCAGGAGCACAGGCTGGAAGTGCACTTTTATCTTGACGAGACGATATAATTGATACTACATCTAAGACTTCGGTTCGAATACCAATCTCACTTACCACATTAAGAACACCGAAGAAAGCAATGACACAGCAGTCGCCGCTCTCACCAAGGTGTCACCGGTGTCACTTACCATATTCAAAAACAACGATTCAAAGCAATGGGACAGCAGTTGCCACCCTCAACAAGGTGTCACCGGTGTCACTTACCACATTCAAGAGCACCGAAGAAAGCAATGGGACAGCAGTTTCCGCTCTAACCAAGGTGTCACCACTTACCACAGGCAAGAACACCGAAGAAAGCAATGGGACAGCAGTTTCCGCTATCACCAAGGTGTCACACCGGTGTCACTTACCACGTTCAAGAACACCGAAGAAATCAAAAGGACAGCAGTTGCCGCTCTCAGCAAGTTACGCTCTCACCGTGCAGTTGCTTTCTTCAATCACGAGTCAGCGTCGAGAAATTGAATCGCTGCAAGTTCCCCCACTATTATAAAGATATGCAGATTCGTTATATATATGTAAAACAACATTCGCCAAGAATTTGATAAATGCCCCTTGAATGAAGGCTTCCGAAACAAGTTGAACGCCACTGAAGCTGCCAGTCAGCCATAAATATTTCCTTATTTGTTTTAATTATTACGTAAAACTTCTTCATTTATAATTATACTTGGATTTGTTTATATTTGATAAATTTTGTAAAATTTGTTTTCAATAAAGTATGCACGTGATATGATGCATTATAATATTATATGTTAATTTACACAATTTGAATAAAAGAATGTCTTCATAATCAAGAAGTGTTATGTGGTTATTTTCTGACTAGAATAGTTTAGTTATTTAAAAACATAACGCGACAGCACAAACGACAGATGATAGAACGCAGACGACAATAAATTTTTGAGGAGGCAGTTTAAATAGAATTTTTAATCTTTGATGCCGTTTTGAAAATAATGATTTCTCAGAGATTTAACATAAATGATTAAACATAACATAAATGATTTAACATTAAATACTGATTCCTTGCTTTAACTTCTTAATGTAAGCAGTCTTTATATGTGAATTTATGTTTATTTTAAAATATCAGATTGGATTTATAACACTAGAAAAAGGTACACTAGAAAAATCATTACCAATCTAGTATCTTCGCAAAGAATCGCGAATTATTTCCGAGTTCTTGAATTTTTGATTAGGAAAATTTAAGAGACATGGGAAAATAGAAAAACTGAACGCAGTGAAATACAGTGTACAAATCTTTATACAAACATTTTAGCCGAACTTTTTGAAAGGCATTTCTAGATGTGAAAATTTCAGATGCAGAGAAAATTTCTTAATTTATAGCATAAGTTTGAGACCAAAGAACGAAACTACAGGAAGTGGAGAATTTGCTTTCACTTGTATTATGAGTTTTAAAATCTCTTCAGCATGTTCAGTAAGTATTGGTGCACAGGTCGTTGTATTTCTCTTATTGAACTACGAAATATATGCTATGTGTTTTACTTTCTTAGGGCGAGAAAGGAGACAAAGGCGACCGTGGTCTCACGACAACGTTAGACGGCAATGCTTTTCCGACGGGTTTCATCGAAGGTCCTCCTGGACCACCAGGTCCACCAGGACCGGCTGGACCTCCTGGAAGAAAGGTTAGAGATTTAGAGATAACATAAAATTTTTACGTCTTAAAGGTTGCACATTTAAGGGGATATATATAATTTGTTTCACAGCTTTATTATTGCACATCTATTTGAAAGATATTAAGTTTTCTACGATTCAGCGTATGCATATTGCATATTTCGTTCTAGTTTATGTAAGTTTCTTTTTTTAAATGGTAATAATTTTATGTAAGGTTTGGATAAGTAAATTCAATTAATTTTTTTTTTTTTTTTGAAATTAAAATTATGACTGGAAACAATTAATTTTTACAGACATCAGACAATTTTAGCATGGGAAAGCTACACATTTAGAGCTCACAACTATATATACTAGTTTTCAAGGTTTTTCATGTGTTTGTATATATATTATATCTTTTAATATAAAAACTATCAAGTAATCAAAAAATTGTTTTATCGAAATTTTCTGAAAATGTTTTTCCAAAGCAAGCAAAGTTTCTTCGCAACTTAATAAATTAAGACAGCAATCATCAACACAAATTCTAGAAATGACGTTACGCAAATAAAAATGACGAAAACAGTCCTAATTTTCTCTACATAATGTCGGAAACTCGTATGATTTTTATATTTAATGAAACGTCTTATACCCGCATTTTCTTTTTTTTATGAAACATTTATTTTTTTCTTTCAGTTATAGAAATTTTATTTGTAGATGAATTGTAAATACTATAAGGAATAACAGATTAATTGCTATTTTTTAAAATACATTAAATGTTTTAAAGCTTCCAATAAAATTGCTGCAAAACACCAGTTCAGTTTCAGAAGTGCAGATTATAGAATTTATTTTTTGTTTTACAAATATAGAGTATAATTTGAAATGTACAACAAGGTAAAAAATTAGTTTTACTTGTGTGTTCCATTGAAAATAACCATAAAATCATTCATTATAGTGCAAAACGTGCAAGATTTTACGAAAACGACTTGGAACATGTCAGAATTTAAAGATATTGTCTGCTTTAGGTTTATCGAAAGAAAAACAGAAAATAATTTTAGCATCATTCGAAAAGTATTCTACTATTATGTATTATTGAATTTTCGGGTTTAAGAATTCTTCCTACCGAGAAAAGTTACGTGAGTTTTGTAATGCGCTGTATTTGAAGAAAGTATTCTAGAAACACCTTTACAACAAGTGCCTCAAAATAAAAGTGCCAGCCACCGTTATGCAGATCAATTTTTAACTTGAAAAAAGAAACCTTCATGATTGCGCCCACACCCTTAACTTTTATTAAAAGTTGGATGAAAATCTTACTTGTATATCAAAATCAGCAAACTAAATTTTAACTCCATTAAGGTGCCCGTCAAAAGCCTGGTGGCTCCTTTATTTGGATTGGCCAATATTCGCTATCTCTGAAATTTTCACAAGGATTTCCGCAAGGCAGTCGACAATTTTTTTAAGAAAATGAGTATTTTACTTTCAAATTAAGTTCATAAAGCTGCTGCGAGTAGGGTTTTAGATAAGGTAACGAAAATTCTACGTGCCTGAAAGGAAAGCCTCTTATGCCCATATCGTTATAAAGGTTTATTTTTTTTATGTTTTAAACTGACCTCTACAGGGATTCCCCAGCACAAAGGTACAGGTACCGTTATAATGAGGCACTATCTTATACAGCTGCCCCATATCTATACAGTTCGAATTATTGCATGTTTTAAATTATCTAAATTATTTTATATTATTGAAATTAATAATTTTTCCATCTGTGTCTTCAGTTATTTCATGGTTCCTTGTAACAGCTAAATTTGCCTTGATTAACCGTTTGCTTATTTTATGCCTAATAATTTTACTTGTGCATTTACTAACCATTAACATGAACTAATACAACTAATCCTTCGATGGCAACCTTCAGGGTGATGTAGGCATTCCAGGACCCCCTGGAGAACATGGTGACAAAGGAGACAAAGGAGAAAGGGGTCGCAGAGGAAAAAGGGTACGCTCTTTTCGAAATTTTATCCTCCAGCCGTTTGCCTTTTTTTTTTTTTTTTTTTTTCTCGTTGTGGCTAGCTGTAAGCTTGCATCTTGCACTTCCTTGCTAGACTTTTGCGGCTTAGTTATCTAGTATATTTCGTATGTAATATGCTGTTATGTATTTGTTTATATATGGCAGTGGATAAGCTTCTTAGATGTGTGTCCAAATATTTTAGCTATGATTCTTCCTCGAAGAAGCAATTTGAAAGATGTTAATGGAATTAAAATGATTTCAAATTTGATGCTAGATTTAGTTAATTTATCTGATAATGGTCTTCGGGTTAAAAGGGTTGGAATGTTGCTTTTACATTTAATTTAATTTATTTGAATGTGATCTTTAAATTTAGTTTAAATGATATACAATACGCGTTAGATTTAATCACTTGATATGAAAACTGTCTTTAAAGCTAATTAACTTTGCTTTTAGATTCATTTAGTTAACCTCAAAATCGTAGTTTTAGCAATCTAAGAACACATAATTTAGCGACCCAACAATATTTTAAATTGTTAAACTACCTAAAATAGTCTTTAAAATTTAATTTTTAAATTCAGTTTAAAAATTACTTTATTTAAGAAATCAAATCTGGCATGCATATAAATAATATAATGTACATATAATAATCTTTGTCAGATTTCTACTAATTGAATTTCTTTCTGTATCTAGAAATTTAACAAAATTCTTGGCATTATGTTTTGCGCTTTAGTAAATTATTTATAAAAATTTGCTCGAAGTAAATTAGAATAATAATTTTAGAAATTAGCAATATTTGATATGAATCTTTTGGTTAGGACCAGCTTTTCAAAGTAGGATCTAAGAAAATCTAAATGTGTGTTGAATTCAGGTTTTCATATAAAATTCTCCACGAAAGCATCCCTGCTTGAAATATATCCATACGTGCTTTGTGGTATTAAATTAAGCGTATAAACAAAGAGAAATTTTGGAAGAGAAAGTAGGCTATAATAACATTTTTGAAGAATTTGATTGTCATACCAACTTGAATACACAAGGATTGTAATCAAAACTCTTTATAAGAATCATGTTTAATCAATCAACTGTTCATACATGTAGGTCTAGGTTAGTATATATACTACTTTATATATTTATTTTTTAATTCCAAAGTATCATACAAAATACAAGTTCATAGCCTGTCTTTCTATAAATCTAAAAATGGCCACAGATGTGATCGTGCACGCTATTTGTCCAGTGGAAAAGTATGAAGAATTTTTCTAAGCGAAGTATATAAACAGAAAGTATGAACAATGTGAATTTTTCTTTGCAAGTTTCTTTAAGTTCTTGATGAAGACTCTCGCCTAAGGTAGACATTGCCTAATTTGTCAAAACAGACCTTGTCTAATTTGCCATAATCTGCTAATTAACACAAAATAATATTTAAACTGGAGAGATATAACGTAAATTATGATTGTTTGTGCTTTTTGTCAGTGAGCACTTCCAGGAGATTATTTTTGAATATGTCTTGGATATTACCTGAACTGTTTTGCTGCTAAGTAGCACAGTAAATTAGTACAAGCAAAATCAAATTGGAAGAAGAAAGCAAGCAAATCCCTTGTTAAAGAATGTTACATTTATGTTATATTTAATCCGTTTCTGAGTTAGTCAGCTGATAGCAAAGTCAATGTTATCTTAATCTTTCATTTATCTAAGTATGTATATATGGGTGAGTGTGTACGTAATCATTTTGTAAGCCATATTGGGAATAATTTTAGTTTGGGTATTGTTTGAACTATGATTTATGTCTACTATTTGGATATACAACACTTAACTACACTAATTATGTTATTTCAACCATAAAAAAGGACTATACAAAATATTATATTTAACATGACTTCAAATATAATATAACTGAGTAAACATTTTTATTTGAATTCTTCGAAGAGAAATAGAAAATAGTAAATATTAGTTACTCTGATAATTAGGTTACTCTAATAATCTTATATATTATTTCAGGCATTTCACTTCTAGAAATTTATATGTAAGTGACCATTATCAGTTAAATTAGCACGATTATTTTAAATTAGTCATTTTAGGAGCATATTTTTCACAGTTTAAGGGAAGAAAAGCATGTCATTCAGCATGTGCATGATGTGCAAATTTTTTATTTGCATTGCTTTTTTGTTTCTGTATTATATTATCAAATTAATACTTATAGTTAATATATCTGATCAGCTCCCACCACCAAAGTTTACATTACTAATTAAACTTTGTATTACTAATATCATTTTACTTCCTATCTCGTAAGTAACAAACATTTATCCGAGTGTGTGTTCAAGATCACTAAAGAAAGAGAAAGATTTTTGAACTCCTCTAACAAGGCAATTAACTGACTAATCCTCTACCCAAAGCTTGCGTAAGTAACAGTTTTTTATAATGTATTTTTTGAATATATTATTTTCAACAAGTTGGATCTAATCCGGTTATCAATAACAATCCAGGTATAGTTCGACCGTCTGAAGCGCAACCCTGTTTGGCATTCTGCCAAAATACATAGACTCGTCCAAAAGGGGTGGTATTACTTGCTGAGACGTGAAAGGTCTCTTCTTCGGAAAGAGCGATGCTGGAGGGAAAGAAAGTCCCCATCCTTGCACCCTATTTTGAGAACAATTTGGTCCGAATGACGCATGCGTGTATGAAATATATTGGCGCTCATGTTCGCGGATGAGGCGGTCGAACTATAACTGGAGTTTCATTTATGTGCATGGCCTGTTTTCCTAGACCAAGAACTATCAAGTTAATGCTTCGAAGACGCTATTTATTCGCCACCTAAATTTTTGCCTCTTCAGTTACATGAAATATTTTTTTGGAAGTAATGTGCATAAAAGATTTGGCAGGAAAATCCACAGATATGTCTTGAATTTGTAAATTCATTCTTGTATTTTAACTTTTTTTCATCAGTTAAAATGACGATTCTCGTCAAAATTATATTAAAAATATGTTTCTAAATAATAAAAATATAGAAGTAAGCAAAATCATATGTATATTAACAAATGCAAGTGGATTCTGTATTTACTTTTTTTACCTTTTTCAGTTCGTAATATCTTAGTTTAATAGAGTTTATACGTTTTATTTTACAGGAATAAAAATTTAGTGCTTTCTAAAATTTTTTAATTCGTTGAAAAACATGCGGTCTGATGTCCATATTCAAATCATAGTTTAAAATTTGAGATTTAGTTTGAGCTAAACAGTCACGATCGGTTACTAGTTTTGAAATTAATTCTCAGATATTCACAGAAACAGAGCACAAACTAGTATGCTTAAATCTAACTTCTCGAAGATGCAGTTGTCCTACTATTACAATTAAATGAGATTTACGATGGGATGCTTTTATATTTAATTCATAAACAAAGAATTAATTAGTCAGAGTGTAGCATTGCATTTCATTCACAGGATCACTTGTGCATGACGCTCCAACAAATATGTCCCATAAGTAGCAAGGATATGGTAAGAAATGTGTGAAGTGAAAATGATAGCATATTTCTGAGATGTAATAAGATGTGTGGAATCAAAGCTTAATTTGGTTGCTTTAAGTAAAATGGAAATGAATTGTGTAATTAGGGATGCAAAAAAAAAAAATTGTTTTTTAATCTTTTGAAACAAAAATCATTCACTTGCATTTCAGTAACCAAGTATGTCGCCCCTTCCCCCCAAAAATGTCTAGATTTTTCGAATATCTCATTATGATCCCAGTTTCTCAGGATATTTGTGATATTGCATTATTTAAAATTTAGTACTGTTCATTTATAATATTTTTAAGAACACTAAATGACACGAAAAAATACATCAGTCTGAATTTATTCCTTAAATGGTACATTTAATGCATTTCATAAATCCTCGCGTATTTACATTTTATATATACTTATATTTTATACATATTTACATTTTATATATACATATTTACATTTTAATGTATGATTTTCTCTTGTTTTCTGAATAACTGGGTCATACAAAAATTATGCGATTAGACTTGCTTCAAAGATTCTTTACTGATTTATAATCTATTTACATATTTCAGTTCAATATTCTGCTAAAATGTATTAAGCAAATTGCAGACTGAACCGTTTCGTTTAAAGTTCAAATACGGCGCGATTCAAGAGTTCGCCAGCTCTACTCTAAAAAGGTTAATTAACCCCATACTTCTTGATATATACACATAATGAAAAAAATATTGTATGATCTTAAATTCATTTAGTGCGAAAACATGTTACTACTACTTGCGCAATTGCTGCAAAGTAAGTTAATAATAATTTATTTACTAAAAAATATTGATTAATTGATTATTTTATCTCCTAAGTTTAATTATAGTAGGATTATCTTAAAAGAGTGAATCCATACTAGTAAGTTATATTTTGAAAGATGTTTTGAAGTAACTTGAAAGTTAATTGTTAAAAATGTTTTAACGGGGACTGAAATTAAATCATGAATAACAGAATTTCAATTGTAAAAGGAATAAATTAAAGGCAAGAATTAAATTAAATGCGTGTAACCATTGTCATTGATCGGAAATTAGTTGACTTTTCAAGGGGAACAAACCAACTCCCGTTCAATGAACAATAATTAATAAATAAATACGAAGGTGTTTCGTCTTTACTCGAGCAATAGGCGAAGCCAAACCAGCAATTCAAGTCAGGCCAAATATTTCCGTGAATAGAAGGGATTATGAACGAATGCTGATGTTCAAAGAACTTATTCCTATTAAGCATTTTAGCCAATTCAATTTTGAGTGAAAAGCAATTTCTGCAGTAAAATTTCGATAATGCTCGAGTAACCGTCCCCCGACACCCTCGTGTTTATGCACTTGAGTTCAATATTATTTGTAAAAATTAAAACATTGGAAATTGGAAATTGTCATTATGAAAAATAGAATTCAAAGTAGTAGTTGAAATAAACATTAGAAAATTACAAATTATAAGATAAATAATGCAAACTTTGTGAAAACAAATCAAAAATAAAAAAAAATAAAAATAAAAAATATAATAAGAAAAGTGAATGTATATGAAGATATAAAGGCCAAAAAAAGAAAAAGTATTAATTAACTTACGTTCTTTCTAGTTTGGAGTGGGAAAAGTGTTCTCTTCGCGTCTGACTCAGAAGTGTAGTGTTAATGAAAATTAATAAAAATAAATTAATGAAAAAAATAAGTATCCGATAATAAAATTAAAATGCCGCAGTGAAACTGAGAAAATAAAATTAAATAAAATTGTATATTTACGTGTGATTAGCCTACTGACTAGTATTTCTCACGAAACCTCTAGAAAGTTCTTGCGGAAATCTAAGGATATGGGAACGCTCATTTGAGAATTTCTGGTGTACAGAAAAGTTCTCTTGCTTGCTTTCTTGACGCCATATTATTTAACAAAATGATAACTTAGAAAATGCAGTAAACACAAAGCAACATTTAAATGCAATAAAGCTGTAGAATATTAAACAAGAATTTCAAATTATGAAACTATCAAACAGGGATTAAATCAAGAATGCCGAAAGAGAAAAAAAGATTGAAATGAAGAATCACAAACTTCGTAGAATGAAAGAGTCCGATATTTATACGTAAAATGGCGATCTAAATGGAATCTGCCTCCTTGCGACAAAATGACATCTTACTTCTAAGTGTTACGGTTTTTTTTCATAACATCTTTACTTTGAATGTCTTCATTTTTAATTAGTTGTATTTTTAGCAGCTGAAAACAAATTAATGTTTTGTAATTTTAAATTATCTTTTTGTTGTGAATGTGTTTTTACTTTAATGACCGAGCTTAAGCCATAGAAGGGTCGAAAGCATACGAAAAAGGTACATAAAATCTAAATAAAAAAATAATTTATAGTTTGCTTGAACAACTAACTTAGAAAAAGAGGCAAGGCAACTTAATATTCAACAGAAAAACCTGAAAGGTTGCAAACGGATTTCAACGACTTACTGTTCTAATCCGCTACAGCTGACAATTCTTTCTGCCTAAATCAGTTAAGCATCTGAGAGTATTCTAATTGTTGTTATAAAAATTCTAATTTCATTTAATTCTAATTTACTTAAAGGTTCTTATTTTACAGTCAGCAACGAGCAGCTCAGAAGCAACTTTCAAATGAATGAACACTTCCTTAAATTGAAATTAATCTCATTGGATAGAAGTTGTAGTTAAGATACTGTAGGTTTAAGCTTTACATTTTCGTGACTCAGATTTGGATAAAACTTTAAAAAATTGAATTAGATAAGTCAGTTTAATAAACATTAAACAGAATAAAACTTTGTAAAAATTATATTAGAGTTCTTTGAGAAAAAACACATTTGTCAGGACTTAAAGAATATTATTATCAGATCTCTTGTTAAACTTAGTTTTTCCTTTGAATATACGTTATATGATATATGTAAGGAAGACATCATGAATAAGCAGCACTATAATCACCATTATAACTAATCACGTAATTGCTAAAATAAAATTTATTTATACAAATTACAATGAAAAGAAAAGTAAGAAGGTATCTTTACTGGTTCATCAGCATTCGCAAATTGCATAATTTTTGTAACATTTAATTACTTAAATAAGTTTTGAAATTCTGCTTCAGATTTTTATTGGTTATTTCAGGGAAAACGAGGTCTTCCAGGAAAGGATGGCACACCCGGACTTACTGGACTTAAAGGAGAGCCTGGAAAAGGAGTGAAAGGGGAGAAAGGAGAAAAGGGAGATTTAGGCTCGCCTGGTTATGAAATGCATTTTCTAACCTGTACATTAAAGTTAGATTATCCGACATTCGTGAGTTATGTTCACTAATGTCCAAGACTGCTTAAGTAGTAATTTGATACGGATGAGAACAAGAGTTTGCCAAGTTTGCTCTTCTGTATTAAAAATCTTTGACGTCAATCGCTTTGCGTGACGTCTCTTGCTCAAGTCAGCGCAAAACTGTGTTCCATTTCTCCAACTTCTGTAATAGAGTTATCTCATTTAACGACGCGGACTAGGAAAAACTTCCCTGAGAAACGAACTTATCTTCCTCCTCCAATAGGAGAATTCCTAGCCGAAACAATATATGCCGTAATATGCCTAAATTCTCTTTCTATCTATTAAATCAGTTGTAATTGTTTTTTCTCATCTCAAATTGATAAAATTGGAAAATATTTGGAGTAAACGTATGTTTATTTGACTAGGGTGACAGAGGTTTTCCAGGATTACCAGGATTCAATGGTTCGAAAGGAGAAAATGGAATTCAAGGTCCTCCAGGATTACCAGTAAGTGCTTATAATCGTTATTACACTTAAATATAAAGAGTTCGAATAAAATATAATGCAGAGTTAAACCAAGCGTTAATGTTTTCCTTGCAAGATATCTAATGCTAATGCAATGTGCTCAGTGTATAATAGATATTAATCAGTAGATAAAGATTGTCCGAAGAGGTTTACCTGTATTAAAAGGGATAGAGCAATATGGAATAAAATATCTTCTCGGACATAAATTGTCATACTGTTAACTCTCTTCAAAAGTAGAAATGACTCATTTTTGCTCTCAACATTTTCTACGATATTTTTTTTTAATACATCCAGAATAAAATTTCCATTCTGACTTAGAAACGTCATTAGAAGGGATTTTCAAAAATGTTTTGAATCTTACGCTACTTTGCACTACTGTGGACTCATTATTCCGTGCATTACTGAAACATTTTTACTTAAAAACATAAAGTATTTTCGCGCATTATGCTGCTGAAAATTGATCGGTATAGACAAAAAGTAAGAAATTGAGAGCCTACTTTACACGAAGACCCAAATATATTGTATTTTACAGAAAAGACCCATTTATATTGAATATTTATAGTATGATTTGTAATTTATATTGAATTTAACTTTTTTTTTTGAAGAAGTGGTCTTCATGTAAAATTTGCTCCTGAACGAAATAAACGCTTTTTAATTTATTTTCCGTGTAGTCTCGCAGATTGTAGTTAGTTTTCAGAGTGTTACTATTCGACAAGACTTTAATTTACTTTTAAAACTTATCAGGTTTAACTTCTTTTATTATTGTAAATATGATTTAGCCTCTTTAAAAGACTCTAAGCGATTTATCGCTTAATCTGAGAAAGTATATGTACAGAAACTTTCGAAGGGTGTGAAAGTCCCTTTTAGTTTAAAGTAAAATAGATGAAATTGCACTCTTGGTCCTTACAAATCTTCCAGCATTTATGGTGACCCTTCAAATTACAAATTCAAATGTAAAATTAAATTTAAGTAGCTAATAGCCAAAGGCTAAACAGAGTAATTTAATCGTGAAGTTGGCTCTTAATTCACCAACGAGACTTTAGACTATCGGCTAGAAGCAACGAAGAGAGGAACTCTTATCTAGAATAGCAAGCTAGTACCATGGCCTTCAAATGGCAGAATACACTCTGACGTCACAATCTCAAACCTTTAAGTACTCACTTAAACACACAGCAGCTAATTTGCTTTCTGGCAGGAAAACGGAAAGAGAGAAGTGAGAGTAAAGTCTCAAAGCTTAATATATCTGTTATGTAAATTAAATAAACCTTATGCGCTTAATAAGCTTATAATTGCTTATTAACTTACAATTTAAAACAATAAACTTAATTTTATAAACCTCTATTTCATTTACTAAAGATGCAGTCAGTTGCTATATTTAAAAAAATATTAATCATATTTAATTGATAATTTTTAGGAATATATGTACAGTTATTGCAAATAAGTAATGATATTATTAACGCTACATATTTCATGCTTTGGCGTTGAATCATTCCCTGTTTTATTTATTTTTTCATTCTTACAGGGAACACACGGAGCTAAAGGTGACAAAGGAGAAAGGGGGGATTTGGGAGCTCCTGGACTGATGGGACCACCCGGATTACCAGGACCTCCTGTAGGTGACGTTTATTTTGAGGACAACGATTCTTGTGCGCTTTTATTTTATATTTTATTTATCATTTATGAAATTTTATTTCTTATAGAATAATGAATTTTTGTACTGAAAATGAAAAAATATGTTTGATGTACTGGTCATTAAAATTGCGTAGCTAAAAGAAACGAAAAGGTTACACAAATTTATTTCAGAGATTTGTTATAATTCAAAATCATTTGAATTCAATGTACGTTGGATCATCAATATAACTGTGTAATTAATAACAAATGTGATCACCATAACTCATACTACTGCTGCTACGCGGTAAAACTTAGAAATTTTGGGATACTGCAACCTAGGCAGTAGTCATTTGTCACCAATATTCATCTGTAAAACCTTTTGGTAATCTTTATAGTTCTAGTGTGTTTCATACCACGGAACAGACGTGTTTGGTTACAAAAAGATCCAGTGAACGCAGTGGGGAAGGCAAAAGCATAATTTGCTGTATGTCCAGGATGTATCGAATGCTAAACGCGACGTTTCATCGTGCATTGTTGTGTTGATAAATTGTTACTAGGATGCTACTTAAGTTACGGAGCTACGTTAGGTCTTAATACGTGTGTAATGCTAAGATGATTGGTCAGAATGTTAAATATGCGTACCAAACGAAAACGAAACTAGTGTGCAATCGCATCTCATATCGTAACCTCCATGGATGGGTCGTTATAACGATGATACAGAAAAGTTTTCAACAAGTTTCTCCACAGTGACATACGTGCGCACGACCATCATGATGTTAATATGCAGAATAAGGGGTCGTTTGGAAGACGATGTTACGCCATTCATTTGTCCATATGCATTTTTCAGCGCACTTTTGTAAATGCAGACGCCTGTACTGTACCATTAAAGATATATGAAGCAATGGTTACATCACAAACAATCCATGACACTAAACAAAGTCTGTTACTGTACGTTGATGATCTTCAAGTCTTTGTTTCATCTATATATTTGTATATGTTTTCCTTCCTTACTCTATTAGTTTATTGCTTCATATATTTAACAAAGGACCGGTTAGTCCCGTTGACAAGGGTTATTAGATTTCCAGTCGAGCGCTGTTAACCAATGTTTATGCTCTCTGCTTTATAGCTGCATATGCTGAGCGGATGTCTGATCAGTTATCTCGGCAATTTCAGCACAGGATTTAAAATTACCTCCCCGCAGTGTTCTTCGTTGAACGGGATGTGAGTTCAAAATATAGGTAGATACATTTGTGTACGTGAAGTTTTTTGTTGTCATACTTCACACCACATTTTATGCGCTAAGTTGCATGTTGTGAATGTCACAAGATATCTGTCCTCTCGGGTAATTGTGCTACATATGTCATTTATATGCCATTCCGTCTGTTCCTCTTGAACCCGTTGGTTCCATATTCGCCGGATTTCAGGCAACAATTTGATGGTAATATAGTCCGCAGTTTCTGTATGTTTTTTACTCCCTATGATCAAATTCGAACATAAGCGTGCGTTTTGTATTCTTATTTGAAGCATACTATACATTTCTAGTCGAACAAATAATCAGAAAACCGAATGCCCAGATGGAAAACCCAATCTCTTCTTTTCTTGTAGCACCAGCTTTGGGTTCCAAATAACTTAACTTTGTTGTTTACCTTATAAATAAGATGTTACATCTGATCTGGACAGTGAAATCACCACCACAATATCTATCCATCAAACAGCTGCAAAATTAAAACACTTCAAATTTATTCTACCCCACCGCTTCTGAGTATATGAATTAGAATTTACAAACAGGAATTACCATCCAACCTGTACTTGGCTTCAACACAAAGTTTCTTTTTCAAAAGATAGATATTGGTTCAACAGTTTAATCTTACCTAGGCAAAAACTACTAGCTTACCTAGACCGCGACAGAATTTCAAACACACACTTACGAAAACAGGACCTAACCGCATTCTGAAGTATTCCGAGCAAGACCAAACTTTACCGCCGCCCAGCTGTCTGTCTTCTTCAGTCGGGAGGGAAGAGGAACAAGCCAAATACCTATACTCCTAAAATTTTAGTAGTAAAACTGCTTGCCACTGATATCTACATAAATTCCAGAATGAGCGAATCTCGTTGCGAAAAGAGGAAGAAAGAAAAGAAGTAAGTTAAAATAACATTTCTTTAGTAAACCCTAAATATAAATATCACATTCTCTTTTAAACTGATTTTAGTTAACATTACGGGCACTCATTATTTTTATACATGCTGCACTGCTAATGATTTTCATGTTCTACCATGCTTCATCTATTATGCGAATCCACTTCGATTGACGTGCTCCAGTTTTACTGGTCAGCAGCATATTTAGCCGTAATAAATAAGTTTTATATATTTACGAAATAAAAGAATAAGAAAATTTCAGAATTTTGTATAAATTTGTTGCTAATTTCGTGATTTTTGCTCTTATATCTTTAGGGTAGGCTTGGCCTGAAAGGAGATAAAGGCAGTAAAGGGGATCTGGTAAGTAGTTATTAATAATACGTTTAAAAATTGTATGTTACCAGATGCATTTCTAATTTGTGTTGCATTAGAGTATTGTGTTATAAATCTTTGAATTTAATTTTTTTTTAATTAAAATAGATTTGCAATAGAATCTCGCATATCCAGATTGATTAGGATATACAACTCATTCAGATAATCGAAAAAGATAAGGTTGATTATCTTTCATAACCTGTCGTTGTAGACATTTATCATAAAGCAACTTTTAAAGAAATTTTATTTGGCACTTTGCTTTCATGTAATACTTAAAATCTTATTCTGGAGTAGGGAAGATTTCGTATCGATAGGATCGTGCCTCAGAAGTGACAGGTGAGAAGAATGTAAAAAAAAGTTAGAAACAATTCTTTATAGTATTTTTACTGTATGGAACTTCGAGGTTTACTTTCACGCATTGCCCGATTCAGGGTGTTGTTATTCGGTAAAGCATATGATCCTTAATTTCTTTTAAATTAAACCAATTCGTATTAACTAACTGAAATTTCTAAAAGAGAAATGAACGCATTTCTTAATTCCTGATTTATATTTTTTAATGATATATCTAACTGGTATAAATACATTTAATTTAAATTGCTCAAGACAAAAAAAAAAAAAAAAAAAAAAAAAACAAAAAAAAAAAAAAAAAAAAAAAAAAAAAAAAAAAAAAAGAAAAAAAAAAAAAAAAAAAAAAAAAAAAAAAAAAAAAAAACAAAAAAACAAAAAAAAAAAAAAAAAAAAAAAAAAGAAAAAAAAGAAGAAGAAGAAGAAGAAGAAAAGAAAACGGAAGATTTTGGACGAGGGTCACTGTGGTAGTAGTAAGACAGCAAACGATCAAAATTTTAAGCACCTAATCCGATCGGCGACATGTGGCATAAAAGCCTAATTGAATGTAATTTTTCCCCTGTCATAAAAAATTTCAGAAAACGGACTAAATTTTTTAGTTGACCACTCGTTGTCTTGAGCTCGTTGGTGTGCAGCTTATTATAACGTACAGTCAACTTCGATCAAGCGGGCTGGTACTGGTACTGGGGGCAACTGCTTAAAAATAAATAGTTAATTTCTGTGTTAATAGTTAATTTCTAAGTTAAGCTCACGTTTAATTTAGAAATTAACTATTAACACAGAAATTAACTATTTTATTTTTAAGCAGTTGAAGACGCAGAATAAATTCACTTTACGACGGGAATTAATATTAAAGTATCAGTTTTGAATACATAAAGAACACAGTGTGATTGACAAAAAATAAAATCCTCTGTAAATGAAGAAATTAAGTTATAAATGGTATTAAATACCAGTACTTGCGACAAAACTTGAACGATTTCATGTAGTTCAAAATGATTAAAAACATCGATCAGAACTTTTTTTCCTGGCGAAGTTTCGACAAGGCATTATTGCTCTTGACCTCCGAAACGTTTTTTCTTTCCTGTGAACGTATAATTATCCGTTCTGTGACTGTAACCGTAAACTGTGAACGGATAATTATTCGTTCACAGTTTTCTTTGATGTTTTGGGATACTAATTTCCCCATCATTCTAAAATAAACAGATTCAACTTTTTACTTCCTTGTACGAAGTAAAGGACGTATTGTATCACGAAAAATTCCGGGTATCGTATTTCAACGAAAATATCCATTTTGACCGCTATCGAATGTAATTTAACGATGTTTTTGCCTGACATCTGTACGTAAGGACAGAATGAGGGACTCCTTTTTTTCCAAAACGTATTATAAAATTGATTTAAAAGGGATTCAGCAGAGATTTTTTCATGACATCTTGTACGTACGTATGCATGTATGTATGTATCTCGCATAAACCAAAAACGAATTGCCTCAGAACATTGAAATGTTGTATATTGGACTGCTGTAACATGTAGTTGTGCATTTTGGTTGCAATCGGCGAACCAAAAGTATATAAATATATGTGATAAAAACAATATATAGATATATGTGATAAAAACAAATTTAGAAGTAAGAAATAGTAACGAGCAGAATTTTGATGGCGTAGAAGTATTGATCCATAATGAACAGGAACTGCTTCAAAATGATTGAACTATGTTGTTATAATCTTCCGGTTAAGGTTTTTATGCCTTTATACCTTTAGTTAATTTGAATGCAATAATTGTAGAATTATCAACAATTTAAAAGTTGTTTAACGGCTAAGCCTTTTTTACCATAGTGGCCATATTTGTTTAATTTGAAACTTAGTAGACTAGTGAATTAAGTCAGTTTCTGAACCTTCAGTGTATTTTTGCTGAGTGGGACCAAACATAAACTTTCAGCTTTGTGCACTGAAAAATCTGCCTTCTTGCCTACTGACCGAATTACTTGCTTTTGCGTAGAAACTCTAATTTTAATTGTACAAATTGTTTTTTTAATTGTTTTAATTTATGTATTTTTGTCTTGCTGCGTAGTGAGAACTGAATTAATTAAATGAGAAATATATCTCTAATTAATTTCGAGGAGATAAATTTAAGTGAAATGCAGCAAAAATACATAAAATTTAAATTCCGTACAAGGAAATCATGTGGTGTCCGCCGCATCAGTTCTTTTTAAGAATTGCTCCATTGAATCGGAAACAGGGTGAAACAGAAACATTGAACTCTAATAAAGTAGTTTACCAATCTAGCAGATGGCCACGAGCTTAAGCAAAAGGTTTAGCATTGTGTTTCTCAGTGGCTGCAAGAATAACGAACTCTGATGACAGAAGGCAGTTGGGTGAGGCAAACTTCTGCTCAGGCGGGTCATTGAATTATAGGAATGGCGCGTAGTAATTCTTAATCTATTGTGAATAGATTTAGGACATCATATACTAAGCTCAGAAGTCTACAGAAATATCATAAAGCACTCGCACCGAGCCAACCGACCAGCAACAGGTATTCCATTAACCCCAAGCTACAGGTGAACTATGGTATCAGTTTCGCGACGGATGCTAAAAATGGAATGGAGGTCTGTTATTTTCAGCGTTTAGTCTTTGCTTCTGTCTCTGAAAGCAGTAATAGTTGGGGACTGGTCTGGAGACTACTTGACCAAAGCTATCAACAAATCTTCACCTTGTCCTCACAGAGAACCTCACACTGACCCTCTTTCTGGAATAATGATGTATCATATGAATGGTAGGCGACTGTCTTCCCTTAATCTTTCTCCTTGGCATTCTCACAGCTTAGCGTTATGTTGTTTGGGTATAGAGTTAGGAGTAGGTAAGTTTCATACAGGAAACTTTTTTTCAAGACTAATAACGCTAAGCCGCATGTTGCTCGTGCTATTATGAATACCCTTCATGGACTTGACATGTTGCTCCAATCTTCAGACTCGTCGAGTGATTCGTATCTGGAGCATCATTGATCTGCTATTCGGAAAAGAAGGTCTAGTTGCAAATCTTAGTGCTTTATATCTAATCAAGCAAAGCATTCCTTAAACAATAATTAATCATATCATTAATAGTAAGTCAAGTCATGTAATTGCGTGAATTTCAAAGCTTGACGGTCGCGGTTTGTTCTGAAAAAAATGATAAAATTTGCATAATCGTGCATTATTATTATTATTTCATTTTAATAATTTTTTCCCAATTTTTGGTCATGTATATGTGATTAACATTTTTAGAGATCCTGTTAGTTCGAAATTTCTACGATCTTTCCTTCTTGGAATTGCAATTGCAGTATTCTTATCCTAAAAAAATTAATAAATAAAAAGCTTACGTTTTTGTAATGAAATTATTTATTTGTTCAAACAAACAAGGTTCTTAATTAAACAAAAATAAAATAATGGTAGTTAATTTTAAATACTGCCATAAACTAAATACCTATTTTGTTTTTAACGATAGAGTTCACTGTAAAAATAATGATCAATAAGTGTATATGAAGCTCATAAATTTGTTTCTTTTCGTGGGTTACGTATTTGTTGAACACTGTAGCCTTATCTATATGCAACACGTGTTTAGATTTGAATTTAATCTAACAAGTTATTAGCATGTATATGTTGTATTGTATAATATTTTAATTAATTATTTAATTTAATAACACTTTTAAAGTACACGCTGTTACGTGTGATTCTGTAATTGATTTAAAAGCCTCTTAAAAGCGTTCGCTGTATTGTATTATCTTTGAAACGAATTTAATAGGTTCTTAGAAAAATTTTCTATGCTCTTTGAATTAAATATTTGAAGGCTAATATTATATGTTTAAATTAATTTAATAGCTGCTTGAAAATATATGGTATATTTTGCAGTTTATTTTTTATAGTTAAAATTAATAAAATTATTAAGAGCACAAAATGAAACAAAAAGTTTGCTTGGCCTAGAATGTTAAAAAAGCGATTCAGATAGTTGGAGTTTCCTTTCATTTTAGGCAATTAGTCCGGAAATTGGAATTCTGTTGAGTTAAATTTAAATAAAAGTATTTAGTACTATTTAGAGCAATCGGCAAAATTTTGTGCTGGTATGCAAATCTTAAAGCTACTACAAATATGTTCAGCATATCGAGTGCACACCAATGACCAGTGGTTAAGACCGCTAAATAATAGTTTTTTCGTAGTTTTCCTGGATTTAACGTAATTATGAGCTAATTTTTTTAAACGTCTTTTACGAAGTTATTCCTTCTAAGACAGAGAACGCCGCCCAATTGATATAGTGGTTAACGACCCTGTCTGCCGTACAGAAAGGCCCGTTTCGAATCTCGGAGAAAGCATGGACGTTTGTAAATGTATAGTATCTGTGAGGCCTGGGGGCATTCTAAATATTTTGATCAAATTATAGAGTTTTTGACTGTGTGCATATATCGAAGATTTTATGCAGAATAATCAAAGTGTTGATACCGTTGAGTTTGGATTATGTGAAATTCCCGAAGTGCATTATATTAGATGATGCATATTTGATATTCTTTAAAACATTATTGATTGTAATAATATTTGTATTCTAGATTTGAGTTGTAAGAAATAGTGTGAGGGGGTCTGAATCCCTGGGCCACAACAGAATCATAGTTTGAGAATTACTTATTTTCGTTATTCCGTTTGCTATGAAAATTTATTGGTGGAAATTATCTGTTCTCTTAACGAAATCATGCGATGTTGTTCGAATACAATTATTTATTGAAACCATTTTTAAATGAGTGAATCTCAGAATTTCTCTGAAATCACGGTGAATTTTTAATTTATCTGTGAATCTTATTTTCAATGATTTTCACTGTCTCTAGGAAGGGCAGTTGTCGATCAAGAAATTACAGAGTCATTATCATCGATTACCAAGATCGTAAGAAAGCAGTTACAAGATGATGGCTTTGTAATTATAAAAGAAATGACATTCGTAGTATTATTTTTGGGTAGTCTAGTCAAATCGTGAGGCCCGGTGGCGCAGTGGCTAGCGCGTCGCAACACAGGTCCGGGGCTCGATCCCGGGCTGGGCAAGGTCGACTCAGCCTTTCATCCCTGGAGTGGGTCGATAAAATGAGTACCAAGTTCGCTTGTGGACTAAGCACCAGGGGTCCTACGGTAAGCTGACCACTTGTCCAGGCTTAAGATGCACAATAAACCCGAAACCCACGGTCTAGAGAGCAGATATCAGGCCACTGCCTGCCATGGCTCTCTAAGGGCTGTTTGTGCCGCCGAGTTTAATTTAGTTATTATTTTATTCTAGTCAAATCCCCAGTGAATTACTGCAATCGCCTTCCAGTGTATAGTCAGTCCTAATATGTTTTGATGTCATAATTAAAAGAAATGCTGCGCCATAAATTTTGTAATAATTTCTTTTTGATGGACTATTTCATGTCTATGAATTAAAAAAATGAAAACATTTATTTCCGTTTTTAGATTTATCAAAAATCTGTAGTTATTAATTATGTATAAAATTCCATCCCTTTCTTCATAACTTTTATCTTCTTCTTGGGGCAGTGCATGGGAGGTTTGTAGTTCTACCCATGAGTATTATTAATATAGATAAGTTTCCCACAGAAAGCAATTGTTGTTTTTTAATTTTGTTTGATTTATGCTTAGGGCCTATTTTATTTATGGCTGCTTTAGTGAATTAACCAGTCACATATCTAGGGGAAAAATAGAGAATTTTATGAAAGGAATTTCGACAATGACGGGTAAAACGTCTCCGTAAACAATAATAAGGTAATATATGTCTCCGTAAACAATAATAAGGTAATATAAGCCGCGTAAAAGGTAAATTAAAGATGTTACATATTCCAAAAAACACAAACGTGATAGTCGAAAAATTTTGCAGGGACTGTGCTAAAGCCATTTTTACTTCATCATAAAGCCAACTATAAAAATTTCATTTCTGAATTGTGTCGCAATTATTGAAAACCTGTAAGAATGGATGTTTACAATGCTTCAGATTTATTTATGTACTTGAAATAATAAAATCATTTAATATTTTTGGTTGCTTTAAGTGTAAAAAATATGAAGTGACAGATTAGAAAAAACTTTATATAAAAAATTATTATTAGATTAGGATTAGAAAAAAATGATCGAATTTAAAAAAAAAAATATATATTTCTGTAATTTTTATTTCTTACCTTCTTTACCCTATAGAAAGCTGTTTTGTAATTTTCGTTTCTTTTTTTCTCTTTTGCTCAGATGCCGCTTCGTTACTGGAAGCAGGTAATGGAATTTTCTCTTTCTTTTAGAAAACTACTTCTTGTCTTAAATATTTCTACTTCTAAATCTTTCTAGGATATCTGAAGTGATAGTAGTAATTTTAATAATTGTCTTACATGTAACACTGAAATCAGTGACTATATTTGTCCTGCATCTTTCAGTATAAAGGTAGTAGAATACCTTTCAATCTTATAGAATGCTTATACTTTTTTTAACTGAAATTCATACGCTTATTGATATAGCGATTTTTTCATAAATTTCATGAAACATAAGTTTCTTGTCATTCGGTTTCGTTTTATATAAACCTTTTATATAAGTCTTCTTGTTTTATATATATTATGGTTTAGCCATATAATTCTTTAAACTTGTTAACCGGAGAAGAAATATCCATTTCTAATTTTAAGAAGACATATGCATAGAGACAACTGTGCACTGTGCATAGAGACAACACATTACCTCGTCTAGAATTTTAAATAAGAGTACTTCGAAACATAATTTTGAAAGGTTTTGAGCTTACTCTTCAGTTAGTGGTAATTTTCTCTGAATTAAAGATAGTAGCTGCTACATTCCTGTGCAGAATTTCATTAAATTGAAGTTTGGAAATTCATTTTTACAGATATTAATTCTATATATGCTTATTTTCCCTTGCTGCCTACAATCAAAAACTGTGACTTTTGCATCGTAGGGGCAAAGGTTCGTGCACATAAGATTTTTCGTCAGGTTTTGTTGTTTTACTTATTTATGCTAATTCGAACCTTGAGCTCGCATAAATGAAAACGGGATGATTATTGAAGAAAAGGATGCTTCGAACAACAAATTAATCCATCTTCCTGAAAAAAGGTGTTTTGCTAATAATAAAAGCTGAAATATTTAATATTTAAATTATTTTTAAATCGCTGAACACCTATAATTAAACCTGTGTTCAGTTCTCGGCTAACTGGTTGACGGAACAGAGAAGATTTTGTGGTTTTCGTCATGAATAACGTAAATACGAGCCCATTTCCTTTAGAAAGTACTTCCCTTAGGTTGGTAGCCTTCGTGTGCTTTGCCTTATTCAAATAACCGAACTTTTAGGCATATACCCCTCGTGTGCTTTGTCGTAATCCAAATAATCCTAATCCTGACCTAAAATATATTAATCTGCTACTCAATGTATTCCTCCGTCATTTGAATTAAAAAAAAATAATCTGAAAGCTTTTAGATTTTATGTTGCGCCCAAAGGGACGTTTTTTTAACGTTTTGTGTGCTACCATTATCTATTTAATATCATATTCTTCGAAATTAAACCGTAAAATTCACTTCAACGGAAATATCACAAAATATTTTAAAGACCATATCTTTAGAATTTCCGATACACAGTCTCGCCCGCAGGAGATAATTTTTTCCCTTCTTGCAGTGTTGCCATTGCTCGCTTTGAAATCGTTGAGTTTCTTAATCAAAGACTCAAATGCTTTACAAAATATGAAATAGATAATAAAACATATTCCAAGTTCCAAATTTGTGCTTCCAGATGACCATATTTGGTTGGAAACGTACATTTATTTTGATGGCTCTAACCGTTGCTTTCCATGCAGAAACATGCGAGAAAATTCTTCATTAATTTAATTCCTTAAATTTAAACAGGGCTGCATATTTTTTTGGCATAATTTGAAAATGAATCACGCAAATCGAACGAAAAAAACGTTCTAAATTGTTACTACCTGCTTTGGGCTAAAAGAATCAATTTTGGGCAAATTGCCAAGACTTACTTTTATGCGGTATCCGATTTTTATACTCATGTTTACAAACCTTTTATACATATTATAAAAAGCGTTTTGACATTTATAATGAGCATAAAGTTTACGTATAGACCGAGGGAATGTACACAGATTTATATTTTGCCACTTTTAAAAATTTTATTTTTTTACATTTGCAGATTTAATACACTTAAGCATACCAGGCCTGCTACCAGCAATTGCGAAAAAAAAGCGGTAGAACTTTTGTGAAACACTGTATATGATCTGTATGGGTCCTCTAGAACACTTCACCTATTTTAAATGGGCTTGCAGCACGTCGGTAGCCTAGATATGCATTGTTTTTTAATCGTTGAGTTTGCTATCAAATTCTTAAGTGTTAAAATTAAAATCGATAAAAAACATTTCAAATTTCTCCTTGCCTATTTTCGTAGAGATTACTTCATCAAATTCGACTGCTAGGTACCCTGTTTCATCAGAATGGAGAATAATAAATTTTTATGCAGTTTTCAGTCTTATTTCTTCAAATATAATGCAGGACTCTAATATTTGGTGGCAACAATATAAAAAGTAATTCGCCATTTATAGTGAATCAGCGAAAATGCCAGAACGAAATTAATAGCCCTTCTGGGAAAATAGTCCCTCTGGGCTAAAAATATGACGTAAAAACGTTTTACAGGAGCGCATGCTATTTTAACGTGGGAACTATCCCTATATCATTTCAAATTTATGTCAGTTGTTAATAGCATGTTTAACTTGATAAGTTACGAGGCGCATATTTTGAAAACTGGGATGCGTGCAACTGGAATGATGCATAATAACGTGTCTTCTGCTGTAATTGGGATTATAAGAATTTGTTATCATATTCCATAATGCACCTTGTATGCAACTAGTACGTAATTCTTAGAAGTGTAAAAACGTCTTTCAAAAAGCAAAGTCTTTCAAAACATCTTGAATTACGTTTTTTTTAGTATGTGCATATCATTTTTGTTACCTTGCCCAATATTGCCTTTGCTGTAAATATTGCAGTGCGCCGTATTTATGATTGTCAACCCACAGTTCGAACACAATTTGCAGATAGTAAGGAATGGCCTAGAGGGGCACTGATGCCACCTTAATTTTGGCGTTAGATCTCTTTAACAAGTTTCCCCAAAATTGTTGGATTATTACATTATATTACGCCACATAAGCATGTGCTTATATCCATATAACTTTCCAAATGTTGTCATTTATCAAACTATATGTGCTACCCTTAAGATATGTAAATATCAGTATTGACAGTCAGCAACACATAAGATAATTTGTTTTTCCTATTAATCATTGTGCAGTTGCTTAACAAATAGAACTGTTGAGAAGCTTGAGCGCATTTTTTGTTAATTTATTGCGCGGTATTACACTAGAGGCCATTAATCTACAGATCTTTGAAGACCAAAGATCTTGATGATCCCCGCTGTCCTTCTGTTTAATTTTATTTTAAGAAACCATGTGAACTATCCATCATCCATGATCGTCCGCTTCTGGACCATCGATGATCAGTGGCTTTTACAGTCACCTTTTATTTAATTTTATTATAATATTAGCGGGCAAGCACACCAGATGAACGGGCTGCACGCAAAGCAAAATTTATAAGTTCTATATTCTATGCACCCCTGAAAAGCAAATGTATAAAAGATTTAAATATGAAGGAAATCAGTTGGGTCTTTCCCAGCAACAAACAATTCGTAAATAATTTTTGTTTCCAAACCAGGAAACAAAAACTTTGACACTTCAGGACGTCACCTATGACGTCCTATGACGTCACGGTTTAAAATTAACGTAATATAACAACATTTTCTCGATATCAATAAAAGAATTAACGGGGCAATAGCATATCATGTCAGTTATACTAACCTGAAACAAAAAAGTTGTCAGCAGCAGCTATTTATTTAAAATGCTGACATTTTCAACTTAAAATGAAGTCATATGCAATCGCGTGCTTTCTTCTACGTCAGAATGTGACTTTATGTAATTTTAAAAATATTGAAATTTTTCAGATTTTATATTACGCCCAAAGGCGCTTTTTTAACGTTTTGTGTGTTACGTTTATTTATTAAATA